AGGGTGGGGGAGAGAGGTCGTTAAATTAATTTCACCAAGGATGGCCGCTTTTCACAACTTGGGGGGAATTATCATAAAAAGCCTTAATGCCCGCGCTCTGTTTACCGTACAAACCTCGCGCCTAGGGTAGGTGGTTATGGGAAGCTTTTTATGGATGCGTGTTGCTCGCCTAGGCTAGAGTAGGCGTCTAGACGTTTTTATAGGTTAGTAAAACTATCAGTTTTGCACATTCGAGCCTTACAGGTTTCAGCAATAAATCAGGGGGCAATTTCTTTTGCACTTACTTGGGTCAAGTTGCTGCTGCGGCGGCTGCGGATGCGGCTTCTCCTCCTCCTTCAGTGGGCAGCCTGGGCTCGGGTGGTCGCTGCAAGCCGAGGGCTCCGACGAGCCGCCTGCCCCGGACCCGGACCCGATCCCTGCCCCGGGCCCGGTTCCCCCAGCCGCCGCTGCCGCCTTGTCCCGCAGAAACGAGTTGCAGGAGAACTCGGGACCGCCGCTCCCCTGGGACTCCCGGGCCGCGGAGCACTCAGTCCGTTTGGAAGAGGAAGACGTGGAAGTGGAGGAGGAGGTGGAGGTGGCGGCGACAGGGGTCGGGGCCGCTCCGGTTTCTGGCTTAATCCCGTAGTGGCGCCCGTTGGGTGGGCCGCTGGGGCCGGGGCTGGGACCAGGGCCCGGGCCACCTCCGCCCCCGCCGCCGCTCCCGCCGGCGCCCGAGCCGCCCGGAAAACCGGGCAGCGGCTCCATCCAGGAGCGCATGTAGCGGCCGGGCTCGGAGGCGGCGGCGGCCAGGGGCGGCGGGGGCACGTACGGGTGGTAGAGGCCGCTCATCGCCGCCGCCGCCGGGGGCTGGGCGGGCACCGCGGACCACGAGGCGGAGAACACGGCCGATTTTGGGGCAAAACTACACGAGGCAAACTCGGCGGCGGCAGCGGCCGGGCTGTCGGCCACACCTGTGGGCCTGCCCTGCGCGCCGGGCCCCGGCGGTCCAAAGCGCGCAGCGAACACCTCGTCGCCCTCATGGCCTATGAGCGAGTCCACGTAGTAGTTGCTGAGGGTGCCACTGGAGGACATTTTGAGGCGCCGTGCGCTCCCACCCAAGGTTACACTGCCCGCCGCGGCGCCGCTCCCCGCCGGCGCCCGAGCCGCCGACTAGTTCGCAGGCTGCAGCTTCCACCATTGGTCGCGCGGCCCACGTGATCATATTTACCAATACCGGGAGTAAATCAGTCCGCTAAACTGAGGGCTGCTGTGATTTAAAAAAAAAAAAAATCATCATCAACATAAGCGCCGCAATTAGAACCGATGAGCCCGGTCCGTGCACCCAGCTCGGTCCGGCCTGGCTCGGACAGCCTGGCGGTGGCTGGAACCGCTGCGCCCGACTGTGGCCGGAGGAGGCGCTGGGGACTATTTGTTCGTCTCCCCTTGCTGCCCTCGGTCTTGCAGTTCAGACCTAGGCTGCCTCTCCAGCCCCTGGACTCTGAGCTACCGGCCGCGTGTCCCGGGCGCCCCGAGCGCCGGGCCAGAGCCCGGAGCAGCCCGGGGCACGAAGGGTGGGATGCGGCCCGAGGCAGGCCGGCCTTCAGACGCGGCCCCCTGGCGCCCGAGGGGAGTTTTTTCCCTGTGCCTCTCTCCCTACCCAAACCCACCCCTCCCTACACATACCCACACACGCTCTCTCACAGCTTGTCGTGTTGTTTAAAACAGGTGGAAGACCTCTGTAATGATATTATGCCTTTCAATAAAAATTTTATGAGGTGTATTTGATTATAGATTAATGTGTCCCTAATAAAACGGACGGATGGAGCAGCTCGGAGGGCCTCCTCCCCCTACCACACTCACACACGCCCGCGCAGCCACACACACCCCCGACGTGAGGCTGAGCACACGCGGCGGCCCGAGGGGGGAGCTGGGGCAGCCGGGCCCACCGACTGGGTGCGGCGGCGGCCACCGCTGGAGCTTCTGTGTGCCCTCGGAAGTGCTGGCAGGCTGTAGAGTAGGCACCGCGGGGACAGTGGCGGCCAGGATGCCTTGTCTTCTCCGGGGCTGCTGGAAAGGCCCTGGAAGAGAACACGCCATAGGGCAGAACCCAAATGCAAGCGCAGGCCCGCTGCCGCCCACCGCCCCAGCCCTGCCTCAGAGAGGCCCGCGGGAAGCGCATCTCCCCGGGGCAGGGCCGCTTCTTGTGGTGGTTCTCGGTCCACTGTCTTCCGAATTCTTCTTCTTCTTCTTTTTTTTTTCCCCCCAGAAGTAAGGCCGGGCAGCCTTGAATCTGAGGGAAATGCCCATTGTCACTCCCAAATCCATGGTACAAAGCCTCGGAAGCTCGGCTGGGAGCCGAGACAAAAGCAGCCCGAGAGCAGGCGGCAGAGGATATATTCCTCACTCGACAAGTTGCTCAGGGCACCCTTGGAGGGATCCCAGCCCACCTCGAGCCCCGGAAAGGAAGGGGGTAAATGCCTACTTATGGCCTGATTGATTGCCTTTGCCAGTGGCTTTCTGATTTTGTTCCAGAGGAGATGCCTTTGCCTGCAGCACAGGTTTTCCTCTGAGACATGGCCCCCTGTCAACAACTAATGGCGCTCCCCACATCGCAGGGAGGAAACGGATAAGTTAAAATTGCCCTCCTTCTCCTGCCCAACCAATGGAGGTCTGGGCAAATCTACTCCAGTGTTTCCAACCTGGCATTGATTCCAAGCCTTCTCTGTCCCACCCCTAGGAAATGGCTCCCCTCAAGGGTTCTGTCTTGGAACTGGGGAAGGTTCTTGGTTTTTCAGGAGGAAGTTTAAAACTCTGAATAAATACTGAATTTCCCAAAGACTGCCTGGATGAGAACTGTGAGGCTCAGAGTCCCTGAATAGTTTCATGGGGAGAAAAAGAACAGTGAAAAGGATGTGTTTTGTCAAGCTACTTGAAGCTGGTGGAGACCTTTTGAAACCACAGCATAACCTGAGAAAACGAATTCTCTGTCAGCTCTTCCCTCTAAGGCCTCTTCTCCTTTCTCCCACGCAGGGCTAGATAAGCCTGGACTCCCTCGGTGAAGGCTGGCTGGAGTTTTCCAAGCTATGTCAGCAGCTGGAACATTGGACTTCATGGGAAGTCACGTTCATTTGCAAAGTCCCTTTCAGTCACCTTTTGTACATTTTCTTGCCTCCCAGATATAGTGGCTCCAACCAGCATTTTATAATTAAATAGAGGGAGCATTACCTGGGGGGGGGGAAATCTTTTCAGAAAATTTTAAGAAAATTTCATGTGGGCCACTAAAAGCTAATGAGCTTGAAATCCTTCCACAAGGAAACCAGGGCAAAGTGGGATGGGAAAACTCACCCATCCTCGGCTTCACTGTGGCCTGGCTTGTCTTGCGCTTGGGATGGGGGGGGTGAGGGAAAGGAGGGGGCAGAACTGGATCCGTTGCAGTGCTAGCTGCTGGCTATCCTTGTTCCTGTAATGGAGGCCCGGTGGCTTCCAGGTGGGCCAGACTGGTTTCAACCTAGCCCCTGACAATGGCATGCCAGCCAGAAATCACCAAGACCCCACTGAAAGTATTAAAAAATAACACAACCAAAACCAAAGACAGGAAAACACACAAATGGGGAGCTGTGAAGAAAAAAGCAGCGTAGGCACAGTCTTACTTACCAGGCTCTGGTTAGAGGGAAACATATACCCATCTAGAATTCAATTATGTTACTATCTTGGGGGGGTGGGAGGGGGAGAAGACTCCCCTTCTTCCCAGCTAGGAAAACAAGCACACCCAGGCTGGATTATCACTCCCTCCGCCACTGCCAAATTTTAGCACCCTAGGCCTCCTCCAGCTTCTCCCACCTTCTTTCTCCCGCTCTCTATCACCACCCCCAACTGCCCCAAACAACCAGTTTAACCGGAAGATAATCTCACCAAAGGCTTTCATTTCCACCGTAACGTGTCCATTTCAGAAAAGCAGAGGGAGCAAACTCGTTTCCAGAGTTTATTGCATTATACATGCGACCAGAACATGCACAGAAAGGACAGGTTGCTGTTGTACTTCTACCAAACCACAGATGCACAAGGGAAGGCTACAAGGCATAAGTCGTCAATATTCCATCTCACCAAGGACAATTGCTAAATTCATTTGCGAAAAGATACATTGTAATGTGCTTTTTTAGTCCCCCTCCCCCCAAAGCTTGTGGGTTTTCTTAATCTTTTTTTAAATATATATGTAATTTAAGTACTTTTAAGTACTGGATGTATTCAAAACGCCATGAGATCATGGACTAACCACACACAGAGACCTTTTGCATTAGGAAAAACATGAAAAAGTCACATTGCTGGATGGATGAATGAACTGATGGATGCTGTACAGTTCCAATAAGTTAAGACCCAAATGAAAATGCGCAGTAATAGTTACCCTGCATTACGATGAAAAAATAATAAATTACACGTGCTAGTTTTTTTAATATATATATACTCATAGGGATTACAGATCACTTGCAGCACGAACAGAATGACCCCAAAGTCACATTCTAGCAGGAAACAAAACAAAACAAAACAAAAAACAAAGAGCAATGAAGGTTTTGTTTCCGCCTTCCCAGTCCTCCAAGCACTCGGCCCTGGAACGCGGTGCCCCCTCTCCGATCCTGGCCTCCGACGGGCCTGGGACCTAAGAGAAGGTGAGGTTGGCGGTCAGTTCTCGGATCCGGTTCTCTCGGCTCATCTTCTTGAGTTTCATTCGGCGGTTTTGAAACCAAATCTTGACCTGCCTGTCGGTGAGGTTAACGCTCTTACTGATCTCTAGGCGGCGCTCGCGGGTGAGGTACATATTGAACAAGAACTCTTTTTCTAATTCCAGCGTTTGGTGCTTAGTGTAAGGGCACCTCTTCTTTCTGCCACTCTTTGCAGTGAGCCAATTGCTGGTTGGAGTATCAGACTTGATTTCCTCTAACAAAATTAAAGGGAGAAGAAGAAAAAAAATCAAGAATTTTTTTTTTCTCTCAGTCTTTTCAAATGTACCCTTGGCCATGACCCCACTGGCAGGCAGGCCGCTTTGGGAAATGCTGGTATTAAACATTACTCATATGAGGTGGGTCCTGGAAGGGATTTGTAATTGATGCCAGATTAGTTTAAATGCCCAAAATGACACGATGGGCGGGTACTCTTGCCCTCGGTGTCAGGGTTCTCTCTCTTTCTGTCTCTTTTTCTCTCTCAACTTTCTGACCTGCACAAAACATCAGTACAATAGTAAACTTTCAGGATCTCCCGAGCGACACTCTAAGTGGGCAGCTCATAACTGGGCTGGAGTGGAAGAAGCAACCCACAGCCTGAACGAGACTGCCAACCCCACTGCTGCCTCACATCCTCAAGTCTGCCACTTCTTCCCCAGTTTTCCTGCCCGGGCGGGGAGCCCCACAACCAGGTTAATTGCCCTTCTCTTTCAAAAGATAACCAAGGAAGCGAGTACACCTTCTCCGACAGACCTGCCTGGGCGTTGTTGTACTCCCCAGAATTTCTTGCATTCTCATGCCTTCTTGTCCCCACACAAAAGCATCCCCAAGAAATGTGGCTCCTTACTGTGGCCCACCTCTGGACACTGGGGGAGAGGCTTAGGGGCAGGGTTCCTTCTCAAAAAGCCAGAACCCCTGGCCCTTTGCCCCAGCCCAGCCCCAAGGCTGGCCCTGCCGGGTGGGCCCTGCAGATTCCATTCTCCCCCCTTCAGCCTTTGCCCTCTTTGCAAATGGATTGCAAAGCTTGCGGCACTTTCCCCAGACAAAGCCAAGGTTACCTAACCCCGCAGAGGCTGGGAGCCCTGTTCCCCAGGCAAGCACCAACCAGCCCAGTCATTTCGTTCCCATTGCCACCCCCAAGCTCGCAGGATGCGGGGTGCATACACTTGAACACGAACACGGTGCCTTGGACCGCCTTAAAATCATCATTGGGTGAAAGGCAAAGCTGGGACTGCAAATCTGAGCAGGAGAAAGGAGGTTCTGGGGCCGTGTTTACGAGCCGCAGGTCTCATTTGCCCTCTTTTGTTGCATTTCAAATCTAGCTCAGGAAAAATAAACCCGGCAAGCCCATCCTCTGCCCAGGCGCCATCAGAGTGGGGCCAGGACTAGCCAGGAGGGCCAGGGCAGCCGGGGAGAAGCGGGGACCATCTCGAGACTGAGACTACCCCTCTAAAAGCCAGGAGGAGCCGCACCTGCCAGTCGGGCTCCGCCTCAGCTGCCCGGGCTCGACGCTGGGCACCCAGGCGCTCCCTCTCTGCCGGGTTCCCGGGCTGCACGCCCCGCGGGGGTGGCAACTTGCTCATACCGACCTTTGCTTTCCTTCTCCTGTACTTCGGGACTGGACACGGAGACCTCAGCCAGGCAGCTCCTTTCTTCCGGAAGGCCGCCCTTGGCCTCGGGGCTCTCCACCTGGGAGACTTTGGTGGGCTCTTGGCCGCTCACGGGCTCGTTCATCTTCTTTTCCATCTGCAGCTGGGTGGCCGAGAGCTGCGGCTTGGCCGCGCCGCGAGGGTTGAGCTGGAGCATGACTGTGGAGCTGCCTTCGGGGCTGTTATTGTACTCTTGGGTTTTCCCGGTGGCGTAGGTCTGACTCAGTCTAAAATATCCAGGGACAGGAACCTCGGGGTTCTCAACGGGACAGGACTCAGGGACCAGCCTCTGGTACGAAGGGACCTCAGCAGAAATGAGTTTGTTGCGCTTATCAGAATACATGCAGCAATTGGATTCTTCCTTAATGTTGGTGGTGAAGGAGCAAGTGGGGACTTGCTGTGTAACAGGTTGCTCTATTCGACAAGATCTGTTCGGGTCTGTCCAACTGTCTACTTGAGGTATATAAGGATGCACATTCATACCCATATTTTGGTGGTTCACTTCTCTTTTGGCCAGAGACGGGAGCAGTCCACAGGTTTGCATTCCATAGGTCCCCATGTCTGCGCTAGGTGGTGGCATGTACATGCTGGCGCTGCTCGAATAAAAACTGTCACTCCTGCAGGCACTGATCAAGGAATCTACTAAAAAAGTATTAGCAGCAGGAGAGCTGTTGGGAAAGGACATTTTGGGGAGGAATTTGAAGAAGAGAGATTGTGTCCTTTGTAGGCTGACATCTCTAGGAAAACATTCCCCGTGTAATTGTGGATGCCTCTGCCGACCACATGACAACCAAGCCAATGAGATTTGAAAATGGCCTTGAGCCGCAGCCTCCTCGCAGGTCACGTGCTGCAGAGCCCGGCCGGCCGGCCGCGTAAGCACGGACAACAGCGACATCTACTACGCGCCCGCGATAGTGCGCGCCGGAGACAACCGGTCCAGCCCTCTCCGTTGCCCGCCAGCCTCCCCGGGGCTCGCTCAGCCGGCCGGCCCCACTCGCGTTCCCCGCTCCGGCCTCTGGGCCCCGCTGGCGGAAGGAAAGCCTCGGCCAGAGGGGCGTCCGGGAGGACACGGCGCGGGGAGGGAAGCCAGGGTGCCGTGGCGCCAGCACACAGAAGCATTCCCCGCACACCCCCAGGCCGAACGCGTCCGAAGAGCCGGGGCACGGGCGGGGGGTGGGGGCCCGGCTGGGTCATTTTCTCCCGGGCAGCCTGGGAAGGTGAGTCGGATTCCCCGGGCTCCGAGACATCCCACCCCAGGGGTCCGCAGTAAAGATGTCTCACGCAAAGACGCGGCCAAGGTATCGTGGGCAGCGGAGGCGAGAAGGGCCGCGAGGGCTGAGGCCAAGCAGCTGGCCGGCCCTGAGCCCCGAGGACTGGCCGGCCCTGAGCCCCGAGGACTGGCCGGCCCTGGCGCCGTCCATTCCCTCCTCCAGCCCGAGGGAGATGCGGGATCCCGGTCCGTCCGCGCCCCGTTGGGCTACCCGAGCCTTCGGCTCTCTCGGAGGAACCACACCCCGACCTCTGCGGCCGGGCCGCTGGGAGCTTTCAGCCCGGAGACAATCCCTCGCCAGCAGTTGGCTATCCTCGAAAGCGTCCCTCCGACTCCCAGCGGGAGAACTAAACCGAGGTTTCCCTCCCTACACACCCTGATAATAGTGAGCGAAGAGGAAGGAAGGAAGAGAGAAAGAAAAGAATTTTTTCAAGGAAGGGGGAAAGCTCTTGTCCTCAGACTCCAGAAGTTTTAGAAAACTGACTGGGCCGAGTAGGAGAGAGAGAGAGAGGCAAAGGTGTCATTTGGTTCTTCTGCAAAGAAAAATATGTTTTCCTTTTATGGATTTTGTAAAAGCATTGGTTTCTGACAAGTGCAAGGTACAAAAGGTTGTGGAATTTATTAATATATATTAAGAAGAATCAGGGCGATCAATAAAATTCTCATCTACATTCTTGGGCTACTTGGTAATTTTCTTGCTTCTGAAGGTTTTTAAAGAGTTATACCCGCTGTTGCCACACACGGGAAGATATTTTATTAACAAATCAATCGAGACTTTGTAAAGGATAAGATTAATAGTTAAGATTTAGCATAATGGCGTTCGCTTTATGAATTATTGAAAATTATACTATTGATTTTTCCCCTTCGCTACTAACCAAGAAGGTCAATTTTTTGTTTTAACACAAATCGTCAAATATTAAAAGCTATACTCTTGTCAGAAGTTGAGTTTTATAGTTTTGGACCATTCCTAAAATTGTTTGACACCGTTTTGCTGGGGTAAGGGGAGGGAGGAAAAAAAAGGAGGTGGGAGAACCTTAGTCCTCTGTTTCCTTTGGTGATGGAAAGTTCTATAAAGAGGATTTGGTCTGGGGTTGTGGTCGAGCTCATTAAAGAATAACCACCATCACCACCATGGAAACTCAAGAGTTTTATGAGAAACTTCTCCAACAACTTCCTTTCTTGTTCTCTGGTTGCAGGCGGGTGAGCCGCCCTTCGGAAGCCCCGGCCTCCGGGCAGCAGCGGGGAGCTTTAACCTTGATTTCCAAAGGCTTGCCCCGGTCGAGGGGCCGGGCCAGGGCACAGGAGCCGTCCTCGGGCTTCCCAGACCCCCTTCCCCGCATCGGAGAGAGGAAAAGGGCCCCGGAAACCCTGATCGTGAACCAGTCCTCTGTCCGGAAAGGCGGCTGGGTTTTCTTCTCCCCACACTCGCGCTGTCATGGGCTGGCCTTGGATTTTAGGCCCTGAAGAGAGACTGAACTTGTGGGCAAATTGGGTTTCCGCCTCAGCTGAACATTTCTTTGGAGCCCGATGCTCATTAAAGCGCCTCAGCATTCTGGGGGGGGGGGGGACTAGGAGCCTGCTCACTGCTTCCCAAAAACCTTTTCCAGCAAACCCTCTGTCCCCCCTCCCCGAAAGGAAATCTCCCCTGGCCTGGTGGAAACAGCCTCTGAACATTATTTTCGGCCTTGGGACCACTTTGCCTGTCCCCTCGAAGTGCCCTCGCCCAAACAATAACCCCTTTTAAAAAACTCCGCGGTGGCAATGAGACAGACCTTTTAAACCTTTACGCAGCTGTTCAAATACAACATCATTGTCAGGTTAAAAGCCTGGCGCATCTAACTGCTCTGGTTACGGGATGCCGGCCAGCGAAGCCCGAGGTTTAAACATTACCTTTCCGTAGGGGTGGCTGTTTTTAAGCTTGAGGATGGAGGGGAGAGGGTGAGGAAGGCAGGAAAAAAAAAATCCAACTTTTGACTCTAGTCTGCTACCGGTCCTGTTCAAAGCTAACAGCCACGGACCAGCACCCCAAAAATTGTTTTATCAGAAGGGGGAGATCATGATCCTGGCCACAGTTAAGGGTGCCCAGGGCTGGACAAAGTGCCCGCTGCACACGCTCTCGGCAGGCGCCCTGACGCCAGCCTGGTGCTCCAGGACTGTTGTCCCTTTGCATCTCACCCTTTGCTGGAACTCGGTTGTCCAGTTCTCCCTATCCCCACTCGTGAGGCAAGACTGTTCAATCTAATCGGGAATTTTATGTCCATCAAATGCCCTTTCATAATCTTTATTTATACATGAAGAAAACATTCAGGCTAAAAACCAGCAATTCCTTGTGGAGCGGGTAGGTCTGCGGTGAGCCAGCACGAGCAGGATCTGCCTTCCGAATTTGGGGGCCTTTCTGTTTCAACTCTCAGGGGCTTCGGGCTCTAAGTCACCCCCACGTTAGATTTGGCTTTAAATAGTTCTTCTTCATTCACAGAAAATCTGTGTATCAGCTATAATTTTGAATCTATTATCACAAAATTCCCTTTTATTCTTCCTCAAATAATTGCCTTCAGACCAGTTCCTTGAGGCCAGAGACTCCAATATTTCAGAGGAATTTTGTAATAAAAATGGAGCAAAACAGAAATAATACAGGAGAATGATCTGGACCTGGGAGGATGGAAAGTTTGGCTAAGACTCTAAGGCTAGGATGGAGCAAATGGAATTAAAAGGCAGTGGCTTTCAAGGCCAGCCAGTATTTTGCTTAGGAGTATTTAATGTAGCTGCATCGCTGCTGTTTTCGATCATCTTTAGATCAGTTGGAGCAGTTACCATTAATAATAAATCAATATTGCACTATAAAGGAGATGAATATCCATATTTGTACCAAGACATCCTTCTCCCTGGCACAGCTCTTTCCAGAGAAAAATTAATAGGGTCGCCTTAGCAAGAAATTAGCATTTGTAATCAAGAAGGGGCTTGCATCTGCGCTCTTCTGTCACCAGGAAGAACAGTGACCCTGGGCCTGAGTAGACCTGGGGACTCCTAGGTTGGCCCTGAATTTGGGCCCTGAGTGGCCTCAGGGCTGTGCCATTCTTTGGGGGCAGAGTGGATGGGGACAAATTTTAAAGGCTGCTTCCCCAGGGAGCCCCTCCAGGTTGCACTGTGCCCCTTCCAGCCAATGTGAAAAGAAATCAAGGGGGCAAATGGGCAGGCTGTGGAAGCCACCACCAACTCAGTGAAGAGTCTGTGGAGACTGCGAAAGGGCTGGCAGCTCGGGAGCCTCTTTCTGTTACAGACACAAAAGACTCCTACTTGGTGCACTTTCCCTCCCCTTCAGGATCTGAGATCTCGGTGATTCAAGATGCGTGGCCACACTCCATGAGCCCCACAGGCTCTGAACAATCAGGAGGGGTCGGGTCTGCAGTCCCCCAGAAGTCCTGGTCCAATCCTCTTTCCTTTCTCAGGCCCGTTTGGGCACTGCTGGTAGGAAAGGAACGGCGGACTGCTTAGTGCCCGTTGTCTGAGGAAGGCTGCCAGCCAAGGCCAAGGGGCCCTGAAAGGCCACACGCACCCCTGCTGGAGCCGCCTGAAGAGGAACACAATGACATTTGGGGAGGAGGGTTCCCTCCCCACCTGGACTGAGAGCCAGGTTAGGCTCTGAGAAATGTCGCTTCACAATAGCTAAGCAGGACCGGCCGTCAGACAGGCAGGAGCCGGGGTGCCCATGGGGATCACCTATGCCTCTGGCTGGCGCCTCACTGGGGGGCTCATGGCGCCCCAGCCTCCACTGAAGCTGATGCCAGCTCCCAGGGAGGACCCAGGGCCTCTGGTCCAGGGTTTGGAGAAAGGAGACAGAGACAGCAGGGCCCAGGAGGCCGGCACTAATTCTGGGGGTTGCGGGTGCTTCAAAATAAACTTCGGGAAAGAAGGGACAGCCACCGTCCCTTAGAACAGCCCATTCATGTCCTGGAGCCCTCCCTTTTGGACAGAGGATGGCGACACAGGCCCTCCCCAAAATCAGGGGTTTTGCAAAAGGGAGATGGGGGGCCAGGAGGGCATGCAGCAAGAAGACTGCTTCCAAGAGCTGGTGCCAAAATCAAACTCCGTGCTCAAAGCCAGCAGGCGGCTGCGAAGAGTGTCCAGGGTTCTGTCAAAAGCAAAGCTCGTTTGCTTCAAATGCAATCCCCATTCCGCGCCGCCTTGCCTCGTAATTTAAACGTTTCCCGGGACAGTCTGCCGCTTCCCGCAGCCACATCAGCCCAGCCTGCCCCAGGCGCCCCAACTCAGAGTTCGCCTGCGCTTCTGGCTACCGGCAGCCCCGGCTGCCAGGCATGGCCGGGTTGGGGGGCACTCCCTCGCCCAGAACGACCCCCTCAGTCCCGACGCGTCTCATTTTCTGAGACGACACTCAGCTAAGTTGTCGGCGCCCCGATCTGTCTTAAACAAAAGCCTTTTTAATCATCCCAGGCGGTCGGAGAGCGTAGGAGACGGACGCTGTTTTGGGGAGGAGTTGGTCCTACCCTCACATCGTTCTCCATACTCAAACCAACAAGAAAATTAATTTCTCTAATTTAATTAACTCTCAGTGGCATGACCTATTTGGAAATGTACATATTGGTCTTTAAAAAAAATCTCTCCTTGACACCACCAGATTATACCAAGGTATTCTTTGCAACCGCGTTATCTTTAAGGAGATAACGATTAGGTGACTGTCTGTTTCAGGAATCTGGGTAGCTCCCTTTTCTCTGTCTTTATACAACCTCCCACACCTCGTGGCTGCTTAGATCAAACAAACAGCAAACAAATACCTTAGTGGCCGCCTGTTTCTAACGGGCTCAGATTGCCTATTAGAATCAGTATTGGAAAGATAGGGTACCGCGGCGTCTCAGCCAAACGCGGCTTCTGGAACGTGAGCACGCCCCCGTGTGGCTCTCCAAGGCCATGCAAACGGGAAGTGGTATCTCTCGGTTGGGCTTACCTAAGGTGGTGGACACACAAGCTTGCTACATTTAGACGCAGTTAAAAAAAAAAAAAAAAGATGGAGAGAGAAAGAAAGAAAGCAGTTTTAAGCTCCTGCAACGATTATACTGCTAGGGCACTGACATTTTAACGGACGCCCAGAATTCCACACAAAGAAATCCCCTTCCGAACGAAATTATTCAACTGTAGGCTTTGTTTCTCTTGCAATTTTCACCAAAGGTTGAGGGACACTTTGGAAAACAATATAAATATTTTTAGTTTTGTTCCATATCATAGAAAGTACAATAACTTATCTGGCGGTGCAACAGTTTTTTTTCAAATATAGCGAAGGTGTAAATCTGACTAACGCTTCCGCTTTCAAATGCCTGCTTTGAAAGCCGTGGTTCTTCATTAAAGCAAAGGGGAATGCTGTCTATGACCCCCCCCTCAAAAAAAACCCACCTCAGTATATACTAACTGTATTAAAAAACATTCTGGTAGACATTTAAATCTAACCAGTATTTTAAAAAGAAGTCAACTGCTATTGAATTACACAAATGTTTGAAGGGAAATTAAGGTTATTGATCCTGAAATTAGGCATTTGCTTAGATTTATGGTGAACCCCTGATATGATGCTGTGTGGTCATAAAGGTATGTGGGGGTCTGGATGTGTGTAAGCATGTGTGTGTGAGAGTGGGTGGCGGCTGAATATCACAGAAGAACCTTAAGGCGCCTAATTATTCAGAAAGGTTAAAGGTGATGACCTTGACATTTTGGAAGTTCAAAGGCATACACTTATGCACTTATGTTTTTCCTCCCCCCCCCCCACCAAACTTTGGCAATTAAAAAAATTTTGTATTTGGAAACGTATACCTCCTCTGAAGATGCATGGGGTACTGTATATCTTATGGATTTTTTTTCTTTTCTTTCTTTTTTTTTTTTTTACTTTGGGCTTAGGAGAGGTTAAGAGTCATGATTTACTTTACTTTTTTCAGAGAAAGAGATGCTTTTCTCACTCCTACAGTTTATTGCACATTGCGGAAATCTCTTTTGGGCCCACCAGAAGGTGTATAATATAACCCAATTAAGCTGTTTAGAACTTTGGCTTTTATGGTGTTGTCTAGACAGTTCAAGGTTTTGTAAACAGCCTGGCCTGGCCCTGCAACATAAAGTGCAGTTCAGCCCCCACCACATTCTTTAACTTGAAGCGATAAATGCAGTAAGAAGTGGGTCTGCAGCCTCAGGCCCTATTCCAGGGAGGGGTCTTACCTTCTCTACCGTAGGTACGCCTGCTCTGACACTAGCCAGGATCCCAAGCCCTCTCTGCCACTGGTAACTTTCTTTTAGCAAACTATCTTTTTTTCAAGGAAGGTTTCTAATTTTGGCTTCTTTTTTTTTTTTTTAAGGGACCTTGGTTCCTTGACACCTTGTTAAGAGTAAATTTAGATTTTCTAACAAGTTTTTAAAAATGGTTTTTGTCTTTTTAAAAATTCCAAGTTCACTAAACTGGGAATGGGGGAGGAGACTTCCTTCTTAGGTTCCTGCTGCCCCAGCCTCATTGCCTGGAGAAAGCAGCACCAGAATGGCCGGGTCACATCCTTAATTCAGAAATTCATCCCTAAAGTGATTTTTCAAACCAGTGTAGCCTAGACAGGGTGGGAGAGAACTACTCTTATTTCAGTGGGATTAAAAAGCATTTTACTTGATTTTCAGTTGCATATGGGAGAAGGTTCTGGCCACTAAAATCCCCTAATCAGACACTAAACTTCTTTCAAGAGGAAAAAATCATATATTGTGTTGAAGCTGTAACCTCCATTTTACCAGAAACCATTTATTCACACAAAACACAGTGACTTATGCCTTGATACGACAGACCAACAGACCGAAGATACATTTCCCAGAGTTTAAATAATCTGCATTCACCAAGGGGGATGGTCAGGTCCCTTAAACTCAGAACAAAAACAAGCGCCTTCCAGCCCAGCGGCCTAACTCTCTACAGATCCCACAGCGTCCCCACGGGGACTCGGAGAGAGGGAAGGAGAACAACAGCACATTGGCGGTAAAATTGTAAAGGGACGTTTGCATTTACCATTTTCCCCTTATTAGGATCCATTCGGCCAAGTCCCCGGCCTCGTCCGCAGGCAGCAGTGGTCGCTGGGAGGTCCCGAGTTGACCATGGGAAGGAATCGTGGAGTTCCACAGAGAAGAGGCGTCATTAAACCCAAGAACATTGGGCCTGCCCAGGGCAAGCTGGTGGGGAAGTGGGTGGGCGAGTGGGGCTCGGGAAGAGGGGTGCTTCCTGGAGCTCTCAAAATAAGGGGTTTCCAGTGAAATACTGCAGACGGTCTCTGTTCAGTTTCTTTTCTTTCATTCTGCGATTCTGGAACCAGATTTTGACTTGCCGGTCAGTGAGGTTGAGCATCCGAGAGAGTTGGAGTCTTTTCTCTTTGTTTATATACACGTTAAAGAAAAACTCCCGTTCCAGTTCGCGGATCTGGTACTTGGTGTAGGGACAGCGCTTTTTCCGGGACCGCTGGGGGGCCACTGCAAGGCAAAGAAACCAAGAGGTGAGAGAGGCCGCCGGCTGCCCACTGTAGCCCGCCCGCCGGCCCAGCCCCGCGCGAGAGCCAGGCCTCGGCCCGTTGGGGACGTCCCCTGCCGCCACTGAAAGGCCCTGCCTGAGTCGTGGGGGATGATATATGGGCGGTCACAGGAGAGAGTGCGGGCGTGGACCTGTGTTCACGCCCGGACGGAGACACACACACACGCGCGCGCGCGCGCACACACACACACACACACACACACACCCTGGCACGGAGGTGGAGAAGCAGAGGGCAAGGCCGGCTCGGAGTTGGAACCCGAAGGGAGAGAAACACGAGCGCGCCCATGCATCTGTTCTACTCCAGCCAGCAGCGCGCGTCAGCCAGAGGCTTGGATAAAGTCCAGTTCAAGGATCTCCCCACCCCACCCCCTGAAGAGCAGGAGGTTCGAGTGTCCACATTCACAAAGTGGCTTGAAATCTCCCCTCCTCACTCCATGGTCTCTAGCAATACCCACCCCCCCCCAAACTGGGGAAAATCTCTCTGCAGCGATTAATGTCCCCTTCGAAGTCTACCTTAAGCCCACCTAAATTGGTTTCCTATCGTAAACACACTTTACAACGGCCCGAGAAATCTTATAGGATGTATAAACCCCTTCGAACGCTTATAAAGTAGCACATAAAACGGCGCAAGCAGAGGGAGGCCCCCGCCGCCCCCCCGCGCCCGCGCCCGCGGCCCCCCCGCCCCCGCCCCGGCCCAGCCGCCCACCCCGCACCGGGTGCCTACCTGTGCCGCCACTCTTCTCAGCCCCCGCCTCCCCCGGGGGCCCCTCGCCATCGCCGCCGCCGCCTTCTGCCGCCCCCTTGGGCTCCGAGCCGGGGGTCGCCTTGGCGCAAGGACTTCCCCCGCCGCCACCGGCCCCCGTCTTGGGGTCGCCCTTGTCTGCGGCGCCCTCGGGCTGCGGCGGCGCAGGAGGTGGAGGGGGCTGCGGCCCGGCGAACGGGGGCCCGGGCGCAGCCTCGTAGAACTGATCGAAACCCTGCGGCAGGATGCCGTTTCGGCCCACCGCGCTGTAGAAGTTGGAGGCGGCGCCCGCGGGGCCGTGTGGCGGCCCGGGCGCTGCGCACACCGGCTCCGGCGCCTTGAAGAGCACGTCCGGCCGGCGGCCCGCGGGAGGGAGCAGCTCGCGCTGCATGGCCGCCTCCTCGGCCGCCGCCGCCGCCGCCGCCGCCGCCGCGGCTGCCGCGTAGTAGGGAGCGTAG